AGCGTGGCGAGCGAACGCCCCTCTCGGCCAGATCTCTGCACAGAGCGTTGTGCTTAAACCCAAAGCCATTCTGCGTGGCGCTGCGGGGTGTAATCCATTTCCAAAAACACCCGGCAGGAGCAACTGTCCAGGGTTCTATTTTCCCACGTCACTGATAAACCGGTCTGCCGGGAAGAACAGCGAGTCAAGACAAGCAAATGCAGCTCAACGCACTAAAACGTTTTGACCTAGCATATTGCTGCATTTTCAGAGGAAAAATTTTAATAATTTCTAACTTTTCTCATCTTCCATTTACTCAGCCCCTTAAAGGTACTTGGATCACAATTCATGTTTTAAATTTTTTAAAATTGTAGAAGACAAAGAAAGTTTCTATATGTGTTTTGGAATGAATGGGCTGAGTGGAAACGACTGATCTCTGGCTCTGAAGATAAGAGACAGTGCAGGATGGAAATGACCCGAGATTACCACCTCGGCATCGCGAGAAAAGGAGGGCGGAGGTTGAGTGGAGAGGAAAGGTGTTCTCATTCACATGCATGGTTTATTCCTCTTTGCAATACTTAGGCTGGTCCTTTTAAAAATGAATTGGCCTCTGGCCCTGGCTGGTTTTCTCAGTGGTTAGAGCATCAGCCTGTGGACCAAAAAGTCTCGGGTTCGATTCTGGTCAAGGCCACATACCCAGTTGCAGGCAACCAGTCGATGTGTCTCTCACACCAATGCTTCTCTCTCTCTCTCCCTCCCTCCCACTCTATCTGAAGATAAAGGGAAAAAAAAAAATACTCGGGTGAGGATTTAAAAAAAATGAACTGGGCTCTGGATGTGGAGCACAAAAGGCGAGCCTTCCCCGGTGGCCAGGTCCGTACTCACCTCGGGGCTCCCTGGGACTTCACTGAGGTTTTAGTCGCTGCCACCACCCACTCCGGGTTGAGATTCCTCCACTCAAGATTGCACAGCTTCCTCGGACACTTTGGTATTTCTCCTGCTCAAGAGGCAAGGGAAATAAGCAAAACTGGGGAAGTACTCACATTTTTTAAAAGTCCCAGAAAGTTCCCTCAGCCATTAAGGCTGATGTAGTATTTACGTAGCAAGTTCAGTCTGTGGCTGGTGCCCGAGCTGCTAGCTGTCCATCCTAATGACTGACAGGGATGGTCTGATCTGTCTGCCCCTCCCAGATGCTGACCTCATGCACATCCCACGAGTAGAGGTCTGCACTAGACAGGGTAGTAAAATACACATTGCAATTCTTTTTTCTTTGTTGATTTTAGAGAGAGAGGAAGGGAGAGGGAGAGAGAACATCAATTGGCTGCCTCCTGCATGGCCTCCACTGGGGATTTGGCCCACAACCTGGGCATGTGCCCTGACCGGGAATCGAACCAGCGACCTCTTGCTGCATGGGTCGACGCTCAACCACTGAGCCACGCTGGCTGGGCCACATTGCACAGTTTAATGTTACTGTTCTGGCTGACTGGAGGAAGACCAGGCTGTGTTAATTAGAAGTCTCCATTCTGAAGTCCATGAAAAAGAAACAAGCTTATCCTTTTTAAGCATTGAGTAAGCTTAAGCAACTAAAAACAAATGTGTTCATTAATTTAAACCACTTTAATGAATGGCTGAGGATGTGTGTGGGGGTGGGAGACAGACACTATGAGCAAAAAACAACCGTGACTTTGCAGGGGACAGGGACAAAGTTGCTGAGAGAAAAGGGACTACACGTGAGCGCTATGACCAGGTGGGGGACGAACCGAGGAGGACGTGTTAATCCAAACTCATTCTGATCCCAACTTTTAGCACCATTTACCCTCTTCCCCTGTGTCGGGTCCATTTGTGAGCGTCTGCCTGACTGTCCTTGCCAAGTCCGTTCTGACCTTCATGGTTTGCTCAGGAAATGCTTCTGAAGGAAGCTTAAATCCTAATCAGTAGTAAAACAAGAAGAAAATATCAGTCACCAAACTCATCAAATAGAACTGTGAGATTTTCTTTTTTTAATGAGCTCAAGGTAAACTTAATAGATGAAATATTTCATTCATCAAGCATCTAGGAATGTATTCAGAAGTGGAAGTTGAGTTTTGCAAAGTAAATAGGCTCAACTCCAACGCATGTGTCTTAATGGTCTTCTCGCCACTTTGGTTATTGATGCTATTGTTAAATTTTAACCTCTCCGGCTGCAGCAGAAGTGATAGGAGATGCGTGTTTCCGGGCTCTTGAACGGACATAAAGAGCCGGTTAATTTCTTCTTGCTTAAAATCAAAGCATTTTTCTCTCCTGCACACGGGGGTACGGAATTCCCCTGGAACCATCACAAACCGACACGAAAGGTTTAGGTACAGAAGAAAACGTGCAGCAGAAAACTGTTTTCCACCTGTAACTGCTCCCCCTTTTCCCCGAGACTTTAAAATATGTGCACTGAGTGTAAATTACGCCTTGCAGGTTCTGATTTCATGGCAGTAGGAAGGTGTCTTAAACCTTTCTTACTTTGGCAGCTAAATTACTCCAGTGTTTACCAAAATCAGAAAGGTCTGAGGGTGTGTCCAATGACGTTATCTATTTTGGAAAGTGAGACCCAAGTGAATTTATTCAAATGCACTTTCGCTTTTATTGTGATATCTAATTACCACATAGAAAAGGAGGAAAAGTTGGACAATCTAATATGAAGCAAGCTCTTACATAAGCACCCCATCCCTGTATTTTGAAAAACACTGTCAGAATGTCTGAGGGAGCCCTGGCCGGTTTGGCTCAGCGGTTGGAGCGTCGGCCTGCGGTACAGAGACCCGGGTCGGTTTCCACTAAGGGCACGTACCTCGGTTGCAGTTTGTCCCCGGCCCTGGTTGGTCGTGCGGGTGGCAGCCACTCGATGTGTCCCTTTCACGTCGATGTTTCTCTCTCTCTCCCTCCCACTCTACCTGAACAAAAAATGGAAAATGTCCTCAGGTGAGGATTTAAAAAAACACAATGTGTGAGGGACACTTGCATCAGGGAAGGGTGACGACCCCGGGCATTGGCAAACTATGGCCCGACGGCGACGGCAAAGCGGGCCTACCGCCTGCGTTTTACAGCCTAGAGTTTAGAATGGTTTTTACATTGTGAAATGGAAAATTAAAAATAGAATACTTTAAAAAAATAAAAAATAGGACACTTTTGACACGTGAAAATTGTATGGAATTTAAATTTCCAAGTCCATCCATAAGGTGTTGCTGGACCCTGCAATGCTCAATGGTCAGGGCTGCTGTGGCTGAGCTTAGTTGCTGGAGACTGTAAGGCCTGCAAAGCCTGAGATATTTACTCTCTGGCTCTCTACTGAAAAGCGTTTGCCAATCCCTAGCCTGGTGGTCTCTAAGGTCCCTTTCACTTCCAACCTTCTAGGAATTTTACCTCCTCAGATAAGTCAGAATTCACCATCAAAGACAATGTAGCCTGATAATGTGATCCCAAAAGAACTCTCTTTTGTGCTGTCAACATTTCCCAAGAATATGTAAAATAATAACAGATTCACAGAACATACATACAAACTTCCCAGATACTAACTACTTTTAAAGGGAGGCTCTTGGTTCTAAAAGCAACACTTATAATTTTGAGTAATTTTATTCCATTAACAGGTTTAACAGACCATCTAAAATTACCAAGTAGAATGAAAATGAAAAAACCCAACTCCCCTAGGAATTCATACCATAAAATATTTATTAATAAGTAAAATGATTTCCCCTGCCTTTGGTTATTAAAAATGTTTGATTGAGTATCTTTGTTGATACCAATTGACAACAGTGGTTTTACATTATCAGTCATGAGATAGATAACTGATAGACAGATATAGATAGAAGGTAGGTGATAGATAAGGTAGACGAGAGAGAGAGAGAGAGAGAGAGAGAGAGAGAGAGAGAGAGAGAGAGAGAGAGATAACAGATATTGACATAAATGTGTAAAAGACCAACCTTATAATGGTTTGTTCAATTACAAGTCTTGGTTTTGCTAGCAGTTAAAAATTTACTTGCACATACTTAAACTTATTTCTTATAAGTAAACAATACACAAATTCACTTGGATTTCATAATTCAGAACATTGGTAATGAATACAGTGCTCACCAAAGAATAAGAGAGAGAAAAACAAGAACTAACTTTGTGGGGGAAAGAAAGGCAATATCTCTTTGAAAGCTTTTCTCTTGATTTAATAGTCCCTACTGCCTGAAAATAAGCCATTTTGATAACGAGAGTATAAAAAGCCTTATGATTTGCAAAGTAAATTATATTTGTGGTTTAAATTTCATCCCAAGTCTTGAATTATGGCTGAAAAAGCTGTACTCAACCTTTGTAAAAACATTGCTTTGATATTTATAGGGGAAACAAGAAAACGTTTTATCAGATCTAGGCAGAAATGCTGGTCTTCATTTATAAGAACAGTAAGTACCTGCACTCGGTCCTATACAGACACGGGGATCTGAAAACCAAATAGAAAGTAATGCAAGCCATACATAACTTGGAGAAGTAGCAGGTGATAGTTTATCATTTCAATATAAAAAAAATCTAATTACTTCTCAGATGTCACTGTAAAGTTGGAAAATTGGATGATACAATCAAGGGGATGAATGGCTTTATTACTACACCACCCGCTACTTCAAGATTAAAACCCCAGAGTTCTGAAGTGTCATTAGTTAAGTAACTATACAATTTCTTTCCGTCTTTCTTTAATGTAGAAAATCACTTTGTAATAAGATCTCTACACATGGTAAAAAAGCACAAAATAGACAAAAAAGCACAAAAATAGACAATATATATATATCTTTTTACAATGAAAGTAAGAATGCCTGTGAAATTCTGAGATCAATGACTAATCTCAAGGAGTTCAAATTCGATTTCCTTTTCTAATAATAGTGTCTTAACATCTTCCCCTAAACCTTGGATGCTTATAAAATACTTACCGAGGTAAAAGGGAAGGAACAGGTATTCTGACCAGGTACAGTAAAAAAAAAAAAGCAAAAGAAATCATAACAACAACATAAAAAAAACCTTAATCTATCTGTTTACAAAATTCTTTTGACAGCCATACCTCGAGGGCACTTCGGGGCGCAAGCATTTGTCACACAAGCATCGGTAACAACACAGGCATCTCCAGGTGATGCCCTTTCCCATCAGAAATCAATCATGCACTGGGAGAAAACATATCCGGAAAAGCTAATTCAGAGACAGACGTTTTCACACAGTTTGGGGGCAAACGAAGCTCTCCGAAAGCAGTGTGCCGCCAAGGTCGCAGGCGTGCGTGGACTTCCACTTGGAGAATGCTCGCTAAGTCCACAGCTTCCCTGTTTTCCTCCGTCTCGTAATGGAACCCAGCTGGCCCCTGGGGTCACACGGTCACAGCAGGGTACATCTTCTGTTCACTGTTAGTGTGAGGGAAGGGGGCCTGGATCTGCCTGTAGCCCGTCTGCAGGCCGTCCATGAAAGGTGGCACAGGAGTCATGGGCACCGAGTCGTGCTGCACCGTGTAACCCACATACGGGGGGTGCAGGTACTGCCCTTGATGGGGCACAATCTGGGTGGCCTGCTGACAGTTCAGCACAGAGAAATTCGTGGGCATGTTGACATACACGTTGTTCATGGTCCCCTCAGGTAGGCAACAGTTGGTCTGTGACCTTGTTGGGGGCGCGCGGGCTCCGGAGTTGGCGCTGGAGCTGGAGCTGGCGGCCGTGCTGGACTGGCGGGAGGACGAGCCCCGGGAAGTGCTGGCGCTGGGGATCATGGGGATGGTCTCCATCAAGCGGCTGCCCCCCGGGGCCCGGCTCTGCTGGGGCTCCTGCTTAGGCCGGAGACATCTGCAGCAACAGGCAGCCACGAGGGACCCCAAGATGATGAAGGCAACAAACACAGACCCAACGATGAGGAATGGCACGTAGATGGGAACTGGGGGACAAAAACACAACAGTATGATTCGCTATAAACATACAGTAAGAAAATCAGTGCTTGGCAGTGGAGATCGGCAACCAGCGGCAGCGACGTGGGGGCCGAAGGTCCCGACTGCGCCCGTTTGTGGGACCACTAGCAGCCCATAATGTGCACCATCCTTTACGAGTGTTCAGGAAAGGTGGGAGGGCGGGGCAGGCATGGCGGGTCAGCCCCCAAAGCAAAACGTTCAATATTTACAGCTAGACTCACACTGACTGAGGCAAACATCCAATTGACCAAAAACGTGTTTCATGTCTTAAGACTGTTCTAAAATCCCTGCAATAACTGAGCTGTCCAAACTGAAGTCAGGTAGCTGTAGGATCTTATAGAAATCAGCTGAAAGTATGTAAAAGGCTTAGCCCCGCCCCCAGCAAGTTATTTACATTCCTTGTAAACTCCTTTTGCCATATTTTAGCAACATTTTTTTCCCAGAGAAAAATAAATAGAAAACTTAGGTCAGACTCTAGCCATGACCATTTCCAAAAGGAGTGTGTAAGGCACAGGTCCCAGATGTGTAAGAAAACCCCACACGTCTGCCTAGCTGGGGATGGGGGTCACTGGGTGGTGGAAAGGGGAAGCGACTTGTGTGCAGGGAAGTTATTCCAGGCACAGGGAACAAGGTGCCGAGGAGCACAAATGTTGGGAGCAATAAGACATTTGTTCCAGGAAGTACCCAGGCAGGCCCAGGGGGCTGAGGTGGGACAGGCACCCTGGAGCTCCGACACCGGGTCCTGTGCGAGGAACTACAGAGAAAACCTGTACAGCATACAGCCATGGGCACCATATTTAACAAGTGAGGTTTATTCTGAAAGAGAAAGCCATAAAAGCTAAAAATTAATAACGTTACTAAAACTGGTAGTGAGCTCTATTTCTCTTTTTTTTTGGCATGTGCCCCTAGCGGGAACTGAACCCAGAACTCTCTGGTCCACAGGCCAACACACCAACCGCTGAGCCAAACCAGCCAGGGCTATTTTTTTTTTTAATCCTCACCCGAGGATACTTTTCCATTTGTCTTCAGATAGAATGGGAGGGGGCGAGGAGACAGAGAGAAACATCAATTTGAGCAACACAATGACTGGTCGCCTCCCACAGGGGCCAGGGACCAAACCACAACCAAGGTATATGTCCTTGACTAGACTCGAACTCGCAACTCTTTAGTCCGCAGGCCGACACAAGCTCTATTTTTATACTATTTCACTTTAAAAACTCTGTGGGAGCCAGAGGAAAGCAGCTGGATGAGATCCACCCACTGATGGGGGCAGAGAACTGGGAGGGAGGAGCCTGCAGAAGGCCTGGGAGCCACTTCTGTGGAATTCCACCGAGGTTACCAAGAACCTCCTTTTTTTGATGTGTTCCCGCCCATGTCCTCAATTACTTGGTTGGAAAACACATGAGGGCAGGGACGAGGTCTTGCTGGCCTTGGCAAAGCAGTGCCAGCTCAGTGGTACAGGGCAGAACCTCAAGAGGGAGCCCAGTTCTCCGACACCTCTGAGGTGCCCTCTGTCCCCTGGAGTCCGTGTTTTTAGAATGTGGTAGCACATGAAGTCATGGAGAAATAATGTCTTATAAGTAAAACATACTTTATAAGCACTTGACCAAAGCAGACATTTCAAGATTTCCTTAATCATCAATGCTGACAGAGTCAATACTCTATTTATACAGAGTCCCTTCAGCAAGTAGAAACACTCGTGTCTACAGGACAGCTGACCTTCTGACAGTAGGGCTGTTCCAATGGCTCGGTCACTCCATGCTAACTATAGCATACTTGAGCAGGGACGCAGGCTTTCCCACCCGCATGCTATAAATATGTCCTCTAAATTAAGATACCAGTCAAGAAGAAAAGAAGTGATAGTTAGAAACCTGGCCGGTTTGGCTCAGTGGTTGGAGCGTTGGCCTGCGGACCAGAGAGCCCTGGGTTCGGTTCCCGTTAGGGGCACATACCAAAAAAATAAGTAAGAAAAACTCCAAACATAGTAGAAAAACTAGCTAAAAGCAGCCTAAGTCCACATAATGAATTTTGGGGAGAAATAACTATTCCCTTTCCAGAACTTTTCATTGGAAGCGTAAATAACTACACAGGAGTAAGAGACCCTGTGCTCCTCTAAGCCCTCAGCACTGCTGAATCAGGCATGCTGTCCTTCACTGCAGAAGAAAAGCCTGAGGAACAGACTTTTCAGGAAACGGGGACTTCAAAGTTGGGTGAAGAAGGCACCCACGCGCATCACAGGTGTCATGAGAAGTCTGCAGCCTACTGATCTGTCCAAAGCCAAGCTGACTTTTTAGAGACCTTTCACGAGCCCAGCTGAGCTGACACATGGAAGTGGCAGTTCCGTCTTTGGCTCATTTCTCTAGGCTTTACTCCACGGCCACACACCCCGCCAGGCTGAGCTTGGGTTTTAAGATGGCACCTTTTCTGGAATCACCCTCCGTTCTCCTCTCTTCAGATTCAGGGCTGCGGAACAACAGGGGTGGCTTGCTAATAAAACGCTTGGCTGCAAAGGGACCAGCACTGAAAAGAGCTGCCTCTTACCAGGCGGAGACAGTTCTGTAAACACAGATGCCACTAGTGCCAAGCTCAGGTAACTCAAAGCCTGGGCTCCGTGTGCTGGTTAACAGTCCTGTCCTTAATGTAACCAGCTGCAGAAAAAAGAGAAGACACCCTCTCAGGTGACATGCTTGCCATCTGACCTCTATCCCTGCACCGACCTAAATCCTCCCTCTCAAATGTATTGGTGTGGACCCTGCAGGGAGGCTGTCTGGGAAGTTTGTGAAGAGGGAGGAAATGGAACCTACCAAATGCTTTCACGGACTTGTTTATTTTTCCAACTCTAGCTCTGGCAATTTGAAAAAATTTGTAACTTAAATAATCAAAGTCACAAAGAGCAAAGTTGGGCATGGCTCTGATGTCTCACCTAGCAAGTCCGACATGGTGACAACTGTCCAGAAACCAGAGAGGCCCGGGTCTGGCAGGGGAGAGGTGCAACAGCATGTTAGAGAGGATTAGCGTCTCCCGGGTCTGGTAAGTGCATCAGCAACGGGAAGCCCTGAGGAGCTGCCTTCCTTCTGAGGAACCTTCACGAAGTGCCCCTGCCAGCCCTCGTGGTTTCTCCGGTACCCCCAAGATATTAGCCCTTAGTAGAAGTTAGACCTCTGGAGATAGAAGGCATGGGAGGGGGCCCAGAGGCCCTTCCTTGGAGGAGGATTGTGGAGCTGTCTGCGGCCCACTCTGCCTTAGATGTGTGGTTTTCTTGGGAAAATCCAAGCCAAACCACTCTTCAGCTGGCAAATGGGGAAAATGAGTCCCGGGGCGGTGAATTGGTACCCCATTTCACACACATGAATGGCTGGGCCAGAAGGCAGACACAACCTCCTGGTCCCAGACGCTTTTCTGAAATCTCAGTGCTCCTAATTCCTTTCCCCTCTCCAAGATCCTAGGTCTGTGCCGTCCAGGCGAAGCCAGCCTTCCTCCCACTCGCGCTCGGCCCTGCCCCCCTACCTGCTGAGCCATCTGAGCCGTCTTTGTCCGAACGGCTAGGCTCGCCGGCGCCCTGCTGGCGGTCGTTGTCGCAACCGCCCTGGTCAAGGCGCGCCTCGGCGCTGGAGCAGCAGTAGCGCAACGCGCAGCTGCCGCAGCAGATGGTGGCATCGCCGCTGTCGAAGCGCTCGGGACACTGGAAGCCGATGCGCCAGACGCCCTGAGCGTCCAGCCAGCCGTGGCAGTACTCGCCGCTGGCCCGCGCCCCCGCCACCAGCAGCGCAGCCAGCAGCAGCTGCAGGAGTGAAGCGGCGATCCGGGAGGAGGTGGACGGGCGGCGTCCGTCCCACATGGCACCCTGGGCGCGGGCCGCGAGTCTCCAGAGGGCGCAGTGCGGTCTCCACCAAGTCGTGGCCCAGAGACCCGGGTCCCTGTGGTGCTCAGGCCGGGACCTCTTCACTGAGTGTCCCTTCCGCGGCGCTTTCCGCGCGGGCCACTGCCCCGTGCTGCGACGTCCGGGAGCCGACAACGCCGGACTGCTGGGCCCGGAGACTCCTAAGCCATGCCCTCCCTCTGCCGGGTGGCCCGGTCCGGAAGGGGCAACCTTGGGGGAGGAATCGCACTGATGGAACTCTTCGGGTGCACACTCAGAGGGCCCCCGGAGCTGCCGTCCCTCATCCCCTGGAGGCTTCACCCGCGAGAGGACCCTCCCCCGTGCATCCCCGAGGGGATGATCCCTCCAGTCGGACTACCGCTGGGAGCGCCGCTGCGGACCCGGAGCCAGAAGGCTGCCGCAGGGCTTAAATCTCGGGGTCCCGAGCACAAGTCGCGGAGCGTCTCCCTTCCTTTATTCCCCGCTCGGGCGGCTAGAAGGGGCCAAAAAGGCGGGCAGCGCGCGCAGGACCTCGGTCAGCAAGTGCAGTGACCGCCCGCGCTTAGTCTGCTCAGCTCCGAACTCGGTCCGCATGGCTCCGGCCGCGCAGCCCCGGCAGCCCTCCGGGTGCAGCTCCAACGCTCCCCGCCGCGGGACTTGCAGGCAAACCTTCAGCTCACGCCGCCGTCCTGGGCGCGGACGAGGGGCCGGCGCGCCCCGCCGCAGTCCCGGGAGCCTGCCCGGCTGGCGGCGCCGGCGGCTGCGCGGGTCCAGGCGGGCGGCTCGCGCCGGCTCCCCTCCTCCGCCTCTCCGGTTGCAGCTCGCTCCCACGGGCGCCGGCCCGTCCGCCTCTCCCACTCTCCCTGGCCGCCACGCTCTCGGGAGGTGCGCAGCGATCGGCGCCTCCCGCGGAAGTTTCAGTTCTCCGGGCTGCAGAAGAAGCGGAGCGCAGCAGCCGCCCGCACAGTCGCCCCGCCCGGCACCCAGCCAGCTCGGACTCGGCTCGTCGCGCCGCTGCGCTGCGCTCTTATGAGGAACCCGCGGCAGCTCGAGCGCGCATGCGTGCTGCGCTGCCCCCCGCCCCCGTCCCGGGACGCTGGAGCGCTTCACCTTCGGACGCGGGTAGAAGAGAATTGTGTGGCCGCCGGCGGTGGGCTGCAGGCTAGAACAGGCGAGGGAGAAAACATAATTTAAGCAATCTAGGACTTGCTAACGCAGTAACAACAATAATGATAATTAAAGCAAACTGAACTTGCTTATTGAAGATTTCTGGCATTCAAAATTCGGTTTGATTCCCGAAACTTCCCCAAGATGGGTTATAATTACATTTTGCAGACAATGAAGTCACCACTCAGATTAACTGTCTCCCTCAGCTTCCAAGAGTTGATGTCCTGATCTTGGCTGGTCACAGGCCCCACCTAGGAAGAAAGCAGATTTGGTGACAGGGTTCGCACACCTAGGGCTTCCTCTGGTGGACTACTCCAGGCTTCGCCAAGATGGAATGAAGAGAGTTGGAGAAAGACATCACAGGTTGGCCACTGTCTGCATGATTTGTGGTCTTTTTTTCTTCTTCTATATTTGGGTGTGGTGATTTATTGTATTCAAGCAGAGAGGTGCAGTTAAAAGACAACAAAGTTCAAATCACAAGAGTCTGGATAGATAATTTACAGCTAGTGAAATTGAAACAGTAACAAAAAACATCTCCCAAAGAACAAAAGCCCTCAACCTGATGGCTTTACAGGTGAGTTTTACCAACATTCAAAGAAGAGCTAACACCTATCCTTCTCAAACTATTCCAAATAATTCAAGAGGAGGAAAGAGCCCAGACTCATCTTACAAGGCCAGCACTATCCTAATTCCAAAACCAGATAAAGAGACTACAAAGAAAGAAAATGATAGGCCGATATCCCTGATGAGCACAGATGCTAAAATCATAAACAAAATACTAGCAAACCTAATCCAGCAATATGTTAAAAAAGATCATACACCATGATCAAATGGGATTTATTCTGAGGGTGCAGGGTTGGTACAATATCCATAAAACAATAAATGTGGTACACCACATAAAGAAGTTGAAGGATAAAAACCACTTGTCATATCAATAGATGCAGAAAAGACATTTGATAAAATCCAACACCCATTTATGATAAAAATTCTCAGCAAAGTGTGAATAGAGGGAACATATTAACATTTTAAAGGCCATATATGACAAACCCACAGCCAACATCATAGTCAATGGGCAAAAACTACAAGCATTCCCCTTAAGACTGGGAATAAAACAGAGATGTCCATTTTCACCACTCTTATTCAACATAATACTGGAAATCCTAGCCACAGCAATCTGACAAGAAGAAAAAATAAAAGGCATCCAAATTAGAAAGAAAGAAGTAAAACTGTCATTATTTGCAGATGACATGATATTGTATATAGAGAACCCTAAAGATTCCACCAAAAAACTACTAAAACTGCCCTGGCTGGTTTGGCTCAGCAGTTAGAGCATCAGCCCACAGACCAAAGACTTGTGGGTTTGATTCTGGTCAAGGGCACATATCTCGATTGCAGTTCAGTCCCTGGTCCCGGTTGGGGTCGTGCAGGAGGCAACCAGTCAATGTGTTTCTCTCATGTAGATGTTTTTTTCTCTCTCTCTCTCCCTCCCACTCTATCTGAAAATAAATGGAAAAATAACCTGGGGTGAGAAGTTTTTAAAAAACTACTAAAACTGATAAATCAATTCAGTAAAGTAGCAGGACACAAAATAAACATCCAGAAATCAGTTGCATTTTCATAGAACAATAAGAAAGGGAAACTTAAAAAAAAAAAAATTCACAATTGCTTCAAAAAGAATAAAATACCTAGGAATAAATTTAACCAAGGATATAAAAGACTTGTACTCAGAAAATTAAAGTATATACCATGTTCATGGATAGAAATAATTAACATCATTAAAATGTCCATAGTAATAAAAGCAATCTACAGAGTCAATGCAGTTCCTATCAAGAACCCGATGGAGTATTTCACAGAACTAGAACAAATATTTTAGAAATTTGTATGGAATCACAAAAGACCCCAAATAGCAACAGTGATACTGAGAAAGAAGAACAAAGTTGGAGAAATCATACTACCTGATATCAAAATATACTACAAGGCCATAGTAATCAAAACAATATGGTACAGGCATAAAAAGACATATAGATCAATGGACAACAATAGAGAGCCCAGAAATAAATCCACATCTTTATAGTCAATTAATATTTCACAAAGGAGGTAAAAACATACAGTGGACTAAGGATAGTATATTCAATAAATGGTTTTGGGAAATTGGACAGATACATGCAGAAAAGTGACACTAGATCACCTTCTTACCTCATACACAAGAATAAACTCAAAATGGATTAAAGACTTAAATGTTGCGCTTGAAACCATAAAAATCCTAGAAGAAAACATAGGCAGTAAAATCTCAGACATTTCTTATAACATTATTTTTTCTGGTATATCTCCTCGGGCAAGGGAAACAGAAAAACTAAAAAAATGAGACTGAATCAAACAAAAGAGTTTTGCACAGCAAAGAAAACCATCAACAAAATGAAAAGACAAACCACTGAATGGGAGAACATATTTGCCAATGATACATCCGACAAAGGGTTAATATCCAAAATTTATAAAGAACTTAAAAAACTCAATACCAGAAAACCAAACAATTCAATTTTTAAAAATGGGTAAAAGACCTGATTAGACACTTCTCCACAGAAGACATACAGATGGCCAATAGACATATAAAAAGATGCTCAACATCACTATTCATCAGAGAGATGCAAGTTAAAACCACAATGAGATACCACCTCACACCTGTCAGAATGGCTGCCATCAATAAGTCAACAAACAGCAAGTGTTGGCGAGGATGTGGAGAAAAGGGAACCCTCCCACACTGCTGGTGGGAATGCAGACTGGTGCAGCCACTGTGGAAAGCAGTTTTAGAGTTACCTCAAAAATTAAAAGTGGAACTGCCTTATGACCCAGTGATTCCTCTTCTGGGAATTTATCTGAAGAAACCTAAAACACCAATTCAAAAGAATATATACACCCTTATGTTCATTGCAGCATTATTTATAATAGCCAAGATTTGGAAGCAGCCCAAGTGTCCATCAGTAGATGAGTGGATAAAAAAACTGTGGTACATTTACACAATAGAATACTACCATGCCATAAAAAGGAAGAACATTTTAACCTTTGTGATAGCATGGATGGACCGCAAGAACATTATGCTAAGTGAAATAAGCCAGTAGGAGAAAGACAAGGACCATATGAGTTCACACATATGTGCAATTTAATGAACAAACTGAACTACCAAGCAGAAAGAGACAGACTCCTAGAGAGCAGGCAGACAGCTCAGGGGCTGAGGTTGGTTGTGGGAGGCAGGGGGTGGAGGGATTGAACAAAGAAAGCAAGAGAGAGAGAGAGAGAGAGAGAGAGAGAACTCATGGACATGGACAACAGGGTGGTGATTGCAGGGATGGGGGAGTGGAGGTGGAGGAGGGCATAGAGGGGATAAAACATGATGGAAAAAATAAAATAAACATTTAAAAATAAGAAGAAGAACACCGAAAAATAATAATGAAAATGTAAAAAGAAGAAGAAAGCAAGGTTCAGACAGACCAGACATTTGGCTTTGATAGAGGAGAAATTCAGTGTCTCTTACGGAAGCTGAAACAACAGGTGCTGATGCTATTAAAGGAGCAGTGATTATTTTTAAAAGAACTAGTGACCCTTCCAATGTGGTCTGAAAATCACCTGAAATCCAGGCTCAGCCCTACCAGTAAAGAATCACTGCATTTTGCTGCCCTCGGTTTCTACATTTTTAAAGTGGAAACATAGGATGTAATGACTACTACGGTCCCTTCCAAGCCCACGACTGCAGGAGACAAAGCAGTTTTACTCACAGCAAAGACACTGATGTTCCAACAACCACTGTACCCTTGTGTGTGCCTGGGAAATGCACAGACTCACGCATGGCTGACATCCTTCCACGAACCTCAGCCCAATCAACTCAAAAGGAAAAACGACCCCACTCTCTACCCCCCCAAACACCTTATTCTTCTCATGAAACCTCTTTCAAAGCATTGTACTTCATTTCCTTGTTGGTTTTTTGGTTATTTTAGCTATGTAAAATTATGTATTTTATATGCAGCAGCTACCAACTTTTCTCAGCCTAAGAAGTAAAAATTTCAATATGAAATTATTCATTCAACAAATACATGCTAAGGGCTTCCAGTATACTCTGCTCTGTATAGGATACTGGGCATTCACCAAGTAGCTAAACATCACGGCTTTTTCCTGCAAAAAGAGCTTAAAGTCTCTGGAGTAAAACAGATATTGGACAGAATGACCAAGAAGTGAATAAGCAAATATAATACAAAGATGATAAAAAGCTATGACAGGTGATTTAAGCACATAACCTGGGGGTGGGGAGGAGAAATGGCACTTAAATTTAGACCAGAAGAAACTCAGTTTTCAGACTGTCTTTTTCTTAAAGATACTATTAGGTAATGTTTACGGGGCTTACTCTGTGCCAAGCACTGAGCTGAGTCTCACAGGCATAGGCTCATTTAACCCC